GTTCGATAACTTTAGAGCTCTGTGTTGTCAATTTTATTTCCGCAACTGTACGGACCGTAACAAGTAATAATGGACCTAAGAGTCTGGGTTGTCGATCCCACGAGGACTATACTCTAGCACTTAATTCGATTTTTCTTTAACCACTATTTAATGAAATGAAAACTTGTAGAATTTGAGTTTTAATCTAAATGCGAGAAAATAAGTGAATGCACACTCGATTGGTTTGAAAATCAAATTATGAATGGATGTTACGGCAGAATAATTTTACCTATTGGTCACCTTTACATCGCAAATTACAATTCACATCTAATGTAGTATTCGGTCGAATTCTCCTATTGTGTTCAATTTACCCCCCTTGAGCGCTCATTGAGCCTATTTAGCTAATTAAATTCCACATTTCTATGCAAATCCAACTTAGTTAAATGAGTTTTTTGTCCTAGGAATTCAATTATGACTGCAATAATTGGTATATGTATCGCTATTCATTATACTAATTTACTAAATTTTACTACATGGTCTAAATACAAAATTCATATCTATATTCGTAAAATATTCACAAAATTATCAAATTATTGATCAAGTAATTTAATGCATTCAATTCATAGTAAAATCAACACATATTACAATAAAAATCAATAATCTTAATAAGAAAATATAAAAGATCTCAATTGGTTACATTATTCGTCTCAATAATCAATTTAGCTATTCATAATGGAGAAAAAAACAAATAACAATAGTGGATTCCATCACCGGGTTTTAAATTTAGGAGGAGTGGATAAATCTTGCACCAAGTTCTTCTTCTCGTTCCAAATCTTGATTTTCAACCCTTGAATTGTTGTTTTTCCCTCTTGAATTTGCCCTCTAATTCTCAAATTGTGTTCTTACCTCTCAATGTGTGGAATCCCCTTCAAAAGTGTGAGAAATTTGTATTTATAGGTAGGCTCTCGCGTGTGTAGAAAGTAGGATTTTTATGGATTTCAAAATGGACAAAAAAGTTCCCTAGATGTACCCAAACGGCGCCTCAACGCCCTGAATGGCGCCAAGGCTCTGTTTTGGCTTCGGGTGAAAAATTCTGGCTGCGCATCTGCAGTATTTTTATCATAACTTTTTCTCCTGATGTCCGATTGAAACGATTCAATATGTGTGGGAAAGCTAACTTAAAGGACTACAACTTTTATTCAGACATCATTCTCAAATTCGATCATTTGTTATGTCAAAAACGGGTCTCAATATGAGGTTGAAAATCGATGCATAACTTTTTTCGGTTGGAAATCAATGTGTGATCATACTTTGTTTATGTTTCATCCCTTTGACGTCGTTCTTTATCCAATTGAGTCCGAGCACTCTTGAATCTTCATCATGAGGTCCGACACAACTTTTGAGTATTTGCACTTTAGTCCTTAAACTTTGGATCTGTTACAACCTAACCCTTTTATCCAATTTTGCCCACTTCTGCCTCTTCCAATTTTTTGTACCATCATTGAATTTTACCTATTCAACACCAAATGCAACAATTTAGACCATAATTCATCCGAGAAACAACTAAATATCATCGTTTTAAAGTTTTGAATAAGTGTGTAAAATACACTTATCACTCTGTATGAGTGCGAGTGCATTTCCGTGTTTATTTTGTTGTGTAATCTGCTCCTTACTTGGGAGAACTGAGGATTTTACATGATGGTAAAATATTAATTTTATGTTGACGCTTACAATAGGATGTGTTTTATACTTTGCTCAATATGTTGCCTCTTTTGTCCATGCATCTCATTTTTATACTTATGTTCTATACTGTGAACTTACCGATGTAATAAAATGGTAGACTCCCTGCATTAGTTTTATGGAAATTCTGAACAAAAGTACTCTTATCATTTGACCTTTTCAGAAAATTTTGGTGTGTAGGTACTGAATCTTCCTTGAGAAGATTAAGTGAAACTCGGAATGAAGGTGGTCTTCAACTTACTCGAGGTATACCTTTACCTTTAAAGTGAATTGAACCCAAATGATACACACCTTTTTCCTGTGCATATTTATAAATACCTCATGGGAAATCGATGAATTTCTGTATTTATTTTTACAGGTATTTCTCATTGGGAGGACAAAGAAGCCTTGATTTTACGTCTTGGACATGTATGTTCCTCTCATTGTTCTCAAATCTCTAATTAGCTTTTGGTCTTTTACCAAAGATGCATTTTGTTAAAAACATGGCACCAAAATTTGTCATTAATTACCCTTAAAGTGAAAGCCTGAACACATGAGTTCATATACTTAATAAAGCTCCCTATCTTATTATATTTCGTGATGCTAAGAATTGTTCCATATTATGATTTTCATTCATTTTTTGGTGCAGGTCAAACCTGAAATAATTAGCTGGTCACCACGCATTATTGTATTTCATAACTTCTTAAGTACAGAGGTAGGTCAGTTTGATCCTATTTTTCTTGATTGACATGGTTTATATGATCTATAGTTCCTATTTTCAATAAAAAGTGTAATTCTGTGTTTACATTGGTCTTTTCTACGGTACTGCTGGAAAATGTAATTCATAATTGATTATTAGATCCTTTTAGGGCCTTTAGTTAGTTCATTATGTTGAAACAAGACTATGCATCCAGGAATCTCTAACATTTTGTTGTCAGTCTGTGGCTTTGTGTTCCATATTAAGTAAGCCTTTTAATAAAGTATACTGCAGTATTTGATGCTAGCCAGGTTGAATAAAATGCTTTGCAATTTCTGTTCATAAGTGTTCCATAGGGTCTTAATCCTAATGAGTTTAAATGATTATCATGATTTAAGCTAAAATACCTCTCTTCCTTTTGCTGGGCTTCTTGCTCCTCTGTAATTTTTTCTTCCGCCACTATGAATGACTTCTAAGATATTTTTCTTTTCATTTACGTTGACCAAAGAAGTCACCCTTATGAGTTCATTTTCCTCAATACTTCTTCCATTTCTGTGATCTAGACCATTAATTAGTTTCCTTGCTTGTTCTTGAGTTGATCCTAAGAATTGATTTTCCGTGACCACTTCAGCTTTATCTCCTTGTATTTTTTTTTATTTTTTGCAACTCATCCGAGTATGTTTATGTTGTCCAAGCTGTTGGGTTTACTATGAAATTTTGTAAGGAAAAGAATAGACCAAAAATGAAAAATATTGAGGACGTATACATCCTCTTGTATCTCTGTTGAATTTATGCTATATTCTGACAATTTGGCCTTGCAGTATACGTTAAATAGCTTGTTTAAATTGTGGAGTGCTTATAATGTCTATTTTTCTATGAAAGACAACTAAGAATGGGAAGTCATTTTCTACTTCTCAGGAATGTGATTATCTTATAGCAATCGCCAAGCCTCGTCTACAGGTTTCTACAGTTGTGGATACAAAAACTGGAAAGGTGAATAGAAAGCAAATATTTTAATCTAATTTAATGGCTGGTTATTTTCCTATAATGGTTTGTTGATCCTTGTTCTAGAAGTCATATTTTAAATTGTTTATTTTAATATTTAATCTAGACGTTGAAATTATTTGGAAAACTGGATCTACTCTATCAGGGCTTAGATTCCAGCATAACGTTGCTGGTTCACACAACATTAGTTGTTTCTTGTACTCTATCCAGCATTATTTTCTCAGTTAAATTCGTGATGTTTATTTTTATTATATCTACCAAAAATGATGTGCAATAGTTGCTTGCGCTGACGCAACAATGTTTTGGCATACTTTACTCCGTATGATATGTTCTCTCTCTTTTTCAATGGTCTGCTATGATCTTCTATTAATACTTGATATCTTCGTTAGCTAGTTACTCATAAATTTACGTCATGATGTGGTTTAGCATTTCAGTTCCTCTGGATACGTAATGTTAGTTTGATCATTGAGCTTTTTATCATTTTCTGTTTGGCTTAGTTTATCTAAATTTTCTTTTGCTTTGATTTCTGTTGCAATCCTTATAACAAATTTCTGCCGACTTCTCACATGTACTTGAGTATATTATATAATGTCTCAGGGTATCAAGAGTAAAGTTAGAACAAGCTCTGGTATGTTTCTTAGCAATGAAGAAAGGAAATACCCTCTGATACAGGTTAACTTGTTTCAAACTCTGTAATAACGTCCGCTGATGTGTCATGTGCACGAACATGTGTCTTCAAGGATTCATGCATTGTAGTTCTTTATTCTTTTCATTTTTACAATTTCCATAATATAAAATTTATACAATGGTTACATGCATATAAAGCTTTTACAGTTTATTGCAAACCATGTTTTACTGACAATAAGACTTACAATTATGTTGCCATTCACCATCAGACAATTGAGAAACGAATATCTGTCTATTCTCAAGTACCTGCAGAAAATGGGGAGCTTATACAAGTATTGAGGTGAGTGTATTTCTCATGCTCATTCCATTTCACCATTTCAAACAAAAGGCTTATTGGTTTTAATATCAAAGCTAAAATGTGCTGCAGCACAGGTATGAAAAAAACCAGTTTTACAGCCCCCATCATGACTATTTCTCCGACACGGTGTGCTTTTTACTCTGCCTTCCTATTATGTTCTGCATCTCTTTCATCTTTTTAGCTCTTGCCATCTTTAAAGGCTGTCACGTGTTGATAAAGACAGAATGCTTCCTTGAACAGTTTAATTTGAAGTCGGGTGGTCAACGAGTTGCAACAATGCTTATGTATTTAACTGACAATGTTGAGGGAGGTGAAACATTCTTCCCACAGGTAGCTATATTCTAAACTATTAGTTAGTGTTTCCATGTTAAATTAAATTTTTATCTGTTATTATTCGAACTATAGTATTAGTTTATGTAGAAAGGTTAAACTAAGATCGGACATACACGGGGTTATCTGATAGACAACAAACATGATTCTATGATGTTTGAATTGACAATTAACTTGAGCAGGTTAAGCATGATTACTAAAATAACTATCCCCAAATGAAGGCAAGTATTTAGCAACTTGGTAACTAAAACAAGGAAATAGATACAAGTTTTCAGTGGCTGGTAGACTCGTAAGAATCCTGTAGCTTCAAATTGTTGAACTAAGATCTGGTGACAGTACAGTAACGGCATTATTGATACAAAGTACTGGACAAGGCTACACAGTCTAGTGAAATCGATTTCAGTTTCTTTTCTTTCTTAATACTGTTATAATGGGTACAAGCCACCTTACAAACAAGCCAATAGTGTTATTGATACAGAATGCACATAATTACTGGTATGACTCTCTCTCTCTCTCTCTCTGAAACCGTACATACAAGGGTGATGTTAAAACAATTAAACTCTATTCTAGGTTCCATGGCTTAAATGTGGGGAAAGCATGAATACTAAACTATTATCCTGCATGAGTTTTCTTCTGAAAAAAGGAAGGAGAAGGATCTTCGTATTATAATTATTTATTTATGCAGCATCTTTAACTGCTATAATACATTTTATGGATGAATATCTACACCGATGGAGTCTCTCAAGTGCAAAAATTGAATTGCCGAAAAACATCATCACTCGACTATCTGTGTATTCAATTGTCTGATTGTATCTTTCAGCTGCCTCTCCTTTTATGATTTTCTTTCAATTTTTCAATTCTCATTGTTATTAGGCTGGATCCGGCGAGTGTAGCTGTGGTGGGAAAATGGTTAAAGGTTTGTGTGTGAAGCCAAATAAAGGAGATGCTGTGCTTTTCTGGAGCATGGTTTGTGTTCTTCCCCTGGTTTTGAAATATCTCAATTCGCCATTGACAGTCGTTATATGATGTGATAAAAGTTAATCATCTATAAAGTTGAACCCCAAAACTAACCATTTTAAAAAGTTCATATGTGCTAACTATTCATACTTGTGCTTCCATTGATATTCAGTTTTAAGTTTCTTGGCAGCGTCCTCATCGTAAACGCTGTAAAATTGTTTTGCATGGTGATATTGGGTCTGGCACATTTGTTTGATGAAAGAAATATAAGCTAGAAGCTAAAAGCAGTTTTAAAAATTTTAAGAACAAGAAACTACATAAAGAACATGCAATTGAATGCTCAAGCATGCTTATTGATTGAAAGTGGAGATATTTTCTAACTGTTTAAGCTTTTAGATGAGGTGGTCCAACATGATATAATAGCCAAGTTTCGCTCCATCCATTTATGATAATTGTTCCCAAGTTAGGTTTTTGATGAAAATGAATCTAGCTTGATGTCCATGTTTTGTGTTCTTTCAGATAACTTAAACTCTTAAACGAGGTTGTTCAAAAGGGGGTATCGTCTGACCTTCAAATTTATCCTCTATCTCTATGATGTTCTGTTTACAGGGGCTTGATGGACAATCAGATCCGAGTAGCATACATGGTGGATGTGAAGTATTGTCGGGAGAGAAATGGTCTGCTACTAAATGGATGAGACAAAAAACTTTTACCTAATCGTGCTTCAACTTCTCAAGCTCTCAACTTCAATAACTGGTCAAGGTATAATAAAAATGGTAAATTAATGGTCCAGTGTGTATCAGTACAAATTAAAGAAAAGGGACTTTCTTTGCTAGGTGATAAAATATTGATAGCGGAATCCTTGTAATATCAATGTAGGTATAGTAATGCTGAGATGGGTCGACAATAACGGTTTTCAACATTTTTGTTTTGACAATTTCTAGTATTGTTTAAAGAAAAAATATGATATTGTTTACTAAATTTTTTTGTAATAAATGTTATTTTGTTCGCTCTCTCTACTCTTTTGCAATATTTGCTGGTGAAGACCCCTTCTCTACGAACAATTGACGTGCTCAACCCAGTACATATTATGCACACACGAAAAAGCAAATTTAGCAAAAGCATGAGGGACCTGTCGTTACTAATTTTTTACTTGATCTTGATTATTTTTCAGTTTTTATATTTTTTAACTAATGTTTTTTTAATTTTCAAAATTCGTTTCTAAGCATTTGATGAGGAAATGTAGGGCCCGTTTGATTTGTGTTTGAGTTTTCAATTTTGAGTTCATTTTTAAGTTTTTATTTTGATGATATGTTTTAAGATTGCTAAAAACACGTTTGGTTTGAGAATTTGAAAAATTATTTTATGATATTTTATTTCATGAAAGTTGATTATTCCATAAAAATCGAATAATTTTATATTGATATATTTTCAAGCAATATATACATTTTTGATGTTGGTGAACCTTAAAAAATATTTTTTTTCCTGGTTATGAAAGTAAAATAAAAATAAATAATAACTTGAATTCAAAATATGGGAAATAAAAATAATAGTTAATGACTTTGAAAATATTTAAATATTATTTTAGAATTTTTATGTAAATAACTATTAAGAGCTTGAACTATTTTTATATTTCTACAATTTTTATAAATTTATTTTTTCAAAATATTTATTATTTATATTTTAGAATTTTATTCCCTTACAATTATTTTTTATTTTTTAGAATTTAGTAATTTATTATTTTTTGGAATTTTTTTTCCATGTTTTTGGTGTTTTCAGAATTTCTATTGAAAACACTCAAAATATCAAAATTGGGTTTTGAATTTTATGTTATAAGTTTATCCCGAAAATTACTTTTCAGAAATATCACACTAAACATGTTCTTATGGTTTTGCAAAACTAAAAATTAAAAATGACTTGAAACATAAACCAAACACTCTCGTAGTTTTTAAATTAATGAGGTGTCTGGGAGTGCTTTCAACCAAAATTTTATGGAAAATTTGACCGTTACTCAAGGTTAATGGGCCCCACATCTGCAAGAATTCTGGCAAAAAAAAGGAGGACAAAAGCTGCAGCCGTCATTTACCTCTTCTTTGAAATGTCAAAATTATCCTTGTGATGGTATGGAATTTAAAAAGTGTAGGAACATCATGGTCTTTTCAATATCATTTATAATTGATCGGTTGGTGCAGTCAACAATTGCTGCAACCTTGTGGGAATCCTTTCCTGGAGATAAATGATGAAATTCTGATTGTAATTTAAAAATAAGCGCTCCCAGACACCCCCCTTATTCAAGTTGTTGTTGGATTTGGTTGAAGAAATTGATAAAAATGCAAGTTAAAGTTATAATATATCATCAATTTTTATTATACTTTACTAAATATATGATTTTTAGCTAAATCAAACGTGGTTGAGTATGTATTTGGGTTAGATTGGGTCCAAAATATTTACTAGAATTGGTCACTCCAATCAGCAAGAAGAGAGTAATTTCGCGAAAAACTAGGGATGGCAAAAAAAAATTCGTTCAATCCGATACCTGCGAGCCCCATCCCCGAATGGGAGGGTAATCCCTTCCAGGGTTGGGGCGGGGTCATTGCCTTGAGTGGGTATGGGACAAGTACCGAAATATAGTCCTCACCCCACTACCTACCCCATTTAAAGTTAACTTCAAATTTAAGTTTTTTATGAAACAAAAATAAAAGATGTATTATCATTTTTAAAGAGATCATAAGTTGTTCTCAACAAATTAAAAAAAAAAAGTAATAATATTTATTAACTAAAGACATAAAAAATAAAATAAATAAAAAACAAAAAAAATAAAAAATAGGGTGATAAATGGGACAGTGGATCTACCGCGCCCCAACTCGCCTCGAACAGAACCCAACCTGTCCCATTTTAATCGGATATGGGGATGGAGTAAGATGACAAAAATATCCAACGAAACGGTGGTGGGAATGGCCTACCCATCCTATTGCCTTCCCCATGGAAAACAAAATAAAACGGAAGAGAAGAATTGCGGATTGTCTTTTCTTCTCATTTTTAGCATATCATAAGTAATTAGTGATTAAATTATTCCTCCCAAATATAGAGTTAAAGTATCTGAGAGTGTTTATATACCGTTTAGATTATAAATAAATAAAAATAAGTAGTAAGTAAGTAGTTAATACTTATAATTTTCTTGAAATGTTAATCAATGTTTATAAATGTTGGAAATTATAACAACTTCCAAAATTATTAAATTTTAATTTTCAATTTTCTGATTAATTAAAACATTGATTTATAATGTAACATATACTAAATGTTTGAATGTATGTTATGATTGGATTAATTTTTACATTATTGTGAGGGTTGAATTTCTCCTTATGAAATTGAGTGATTTTCATGGGGTTAAACATAACGTGGAAAATACAACTTGAGAAGAAAACTAGAATACATAAAACACTCTCTCTATTTTTCTTACTATATTTTTGGCAACTCGATAAAGGCTCATTCTTTCCTTCATAAAATCATACACATAGAAGGAAAAACGACTGTGAGCCACGTGGACTTTATCATGAATTTCCATACTTGTCTGGTTTGCCAACCAATGTTACAAGTCTTTGTATAAGCTTTTGAGACCAAGTCTGACCAAAGCTAAAGAGCAGTAGCATTCCACCGATCTGCATCATCAAATAATGCATTCCACATGGATTTTATCTTGAAACTATATAGTGTCGAAATTATCCGCATGAAGGGGAGACAACATGACTTTAGGACAGCATCTTTGACATGACTCCCTAAATTTTTCTTTTCTAGCTCCCTTCTTATTTTATGTTATTTATACTTGTTATGTTAATTGATTATCTACTCGCAAATCATCCATTATTTTTCAACAATCTAAAATCATGTTGAGTGATTTGTATGTATACAATGTTTCTTTGTTATATGACTACAGAATAAATTATTTACTGAAGTTCGCTTAACTAGTTTATAGAACTTTGATCCTCTACATTATGCTCTTGATGCTTTAGTTTACCTTGGTGCTCTTTTTTAGCATAGAAGTAGTTATCTTTGCTTGTACTGGCTGCAAATTCTATTAAAATAAATATTTCATTACCTTCATACCTAAGTTGGTATCTGGACTATTGATTCAGACGCTACTACGGTGATCCATTTTCTTCTTTATAGATTAGCGATTTTATTGTCATCTAGTGAGTTTTTATAATTCTTCGAGAAATGTTTATTTTTTGCCTCGTTACATTCTCCTAGTAATTTTTAAAAATTTCATGTTCACTGTAGATCGATATTTATGGGAAAAAGAAATATGATAGTTGTTTCATAAAATTATCAATTAAATTTAGACAGCAAACTGAAACTTGAAATTCTCTGAACTGTAACTCTGTAAGTTGCAATTGATTACTCACAATGGTTTCCCTGGTTTTCAAAATTGTCCTCAAATAACTCTATTATCTGGTGAGTTGGTTCTGTTGACCGTTAGTAAGGAAGGAAATTCGATGCATATATATAGCTATTTAGCTCAAAGAAATATATATATATATATATATATATATATATATATATATATAGAAAGAAAGAAAGAAATTATTATATGTTACAATATGAGAAAGAAATTAGAAAAGTGTGGAATATATATGTTAATTTGATGCTTAACTAATTTTTGCGATGTTTGAAGTTATCATTCTCCACATTATTCATTATAGTCTCTAAGGTTGGGGTGTACAGAAACCTATTATTACTATGGCTCACATGCTATGTAACATTTCCTACGATGTTTGTTCTTTGAAGACTAACTATTAACACACTAAAAGTGCAGCCCAAATCAAATAACTCAAAGAATGAAGTCCAACTAGGCAATTCAGGATAAAGGCCCAAATAGAATTATTAATGAATGCAGTGGAAGCCCACGAACGCGGTAACACCATCGCCCCAAACTTGCAAGATGCAAGATGCCCAAGATCTGAGCAAATGAAGTGCCTTGCAGTCGCCCAGAATTATGACCTTGTTCTCACCCAAACCTTCAAATCGCCCAGGATCTTAGCAAACATAAGATGTTATGGTTATCCAAAAGTGCAATTATCGAAGTAATTATTGAGTAATCTTATCACGTTCCACGATTCAAGGAATTCAGTTGAAAACGGTTGACCGACAAAAAGTAGTGGCAGCAGTTAGAGACGGCAGTTCCACGATAAGTTGGCTACCATGAAGAAAGTGGGCAGTTATAAAGTAATTAAGCAGTTTCTAAGCGGTTGATCACAAAAAGATCATTAATGGAATATAAAAGGAAGAAAAGACATAGAGCAATAGGACCCCGAATCAAACACTCTCAAACAAATAATATATAATTTCAATTCCTTAGTTTAGACTTAAAACATTTCTTTTCAGTACTCGTGTGTTTGCGCCTTTTGGAGGCATTCTGTTTAATTCCAATTGTAAAGTCATCGTCAATAAAACACTCATTTTTGGGGCTTTGTCTCAAGAGGTTTGTTCCTTTTACAATCGTCTGATCCCTTTTTAATTGTTAGCGACAACCCGCGCGAAACACTAACAAAATTAATGGGTGTGAAACATAATTCATACTTTATTAGGGCCCTTTGGGAAGTAAGATGAGAAATGCGTTAAGATCCAATTGCTTAGGTTGAGATGTGTTGAACGACTAGGCTATATGTGATGCTAGAGTCTATATAAGGTGGTCCAGTATTTCTGGAGTTGGCATTTGAATAACATTGACGACGATAGATACAAATCAAGAATATTGTATTATAATATTGTTCAGTAATGACTATATTGATATTCTCCCCGCTGGACCATACTTTACATGGGAGAAATTTTAAGCATTTTAGTGTAACTCTTCAACTCTTAAATTTGTTTCCTCTAGCTATTGTTAACTAGTCAATGATTATTACGAGAACATATTTGGTGAAATACTATTATGATGTTAATTTCTATCTGTTTACTTGATGTCCACTGAAGGGGAAAAGAATATATATATATATGTGTGTGTGTGTGTGTGTGTGTGTTTTCCAAACTAGGTTGCTTAAAGTTGAAGTTAAGATTATTTTATGCATTTCACTCATTTCTTTGACTTTTAACAAAATGATATGATCTCTGATTTATAATCTAGTGATCATTCATTAGCATTATGACCGATTTTTTGCGAATTTGTTTAAAGAAGGATTTATTAATATACTAAATGATGAAAGTCAAGAAAGTGTAGGGTTGATAAACATGTACATCAATGATCTCCTCACAATTTTTGATCTTATTGAAAGAGATAAATTGTAAGATCATATGTTTACCCTATTCAAGTTGGATATCTTTGATTCAAGTTGGATATCTTTGAAATGTGTGAGTTTTAAAAATTTCGGATATCATGAAATTGACTCTTAGAGCAAAGTGTACAAATTGAATCTAAAAACTTCATGTGAAGTACATGAGTTGAATGGAGGTGTCTGCTCAAATGTATTACTAAAAAAAAAAAAATTCGTTGTGTTTCATTATTATACTCAAATATGTGGTATTGATATTTTGGAAATTTCCCATAAAGATTTTGCGGATGTGTAGATGGTAGAGGGAAGAGCTTTACAAATAGATGGTACCAAATTATTGTCAATGAGGGACATATATATAAATAAATCATCGAGTGTGATGAGTTTAAGCTCGTAAGGAAAAAGGTTGTGGGAGTAACACAATCTTTGTGATTGGAGATTCCATAAAAAATGTTCGATGTGATAGAAATAATTCGTTATGCTTTTTGATAACACTGTATTTTTGTGCTCATCATGATAGTACATATGAATGTAATGTTAAGAATGGTTTAACCCTAAATGAATACTGAGATGAAAATTCTTACGACGCATCCTTGGGGGACTCACCTATGTAAGGGTTACCATGAGGCGATGGCTATGAGATTGGGCTAGTCTCTAGAGATTCTTACTAAAATCGAGATTAGAGCACATGGTTATTAATAATACTGTCCGCTACGAATTAAAGCCTAAATTGAAATTGTATATAATACAATTGAAGTTTGATCAAAGAGACTTATAATTTAAGGTTTAGTCCATTATGACTCCCATAAATTGAAATTTTTATTACTATTTATTTATTGATTTTAAGTTTAAAACTTGTGGAAGATTGTTGAAAATTATCTTAAGTTTTACATTTTAATTTTTCGCTTTCAGTTTAATTAAAACCTTAATTTATAATGTAACATATACTTAAATATTTGAATGTATGTTATGATAGGATCAATTTTTACATTATTGTGGGGGTAGAATTTCTCGCTATAAAAGGGAGTGATTTTCACGGGGTTAAACATATCATGGAAATTACAACTTGAAAAGAAAACTAGAATACATAAAAATACTCTATCTATTTTTTATACTATATTTTCCTATACTGTTAGCAAATAGATAAAGGCTCGTTCTTTATCTCCATATAGTCATGTTCATGAAAGGATAATCGATTGTGTGTTACATGAATTTTATCTTGGAATTGTATAGTGCTGGAATTATTCGCACGAGGAAGAGGCAACACGACTTTAGGACAGCGTCCTTAACGTGACTTCTTAAAGCTTGTTTTCTAACTCTGGTCTTATTTTTGTATTATTTATATTTGTTATGTTAATTAATTATCTACACACAAATCACTGTTTTTTCTCAACAATAAATAGTTTACGAACTTGAGCCAAACATAGAAAAAGTTACACGATATTACTTAATTAATCATCTTCCGTGTATTAGTGTTCAAACATGCATGTGGACTAATAGATCGATTCTTCTATCACGAACTTTTTATTATTTATTAAGAACGAAAAATAAGTTTGGTGTTAAATGAAACGATTTAATATTTAATTCGACTGAACGTGAAGTCACATTTTATTTTGAATATCTATATTCTTCAGGTATGTATAAAACGATAATTAGTGGATATCAATATCTAATGGCTCAACTCTATTTGAAATTTCACATTCCTATTTGTGAAATTCTCCCCCAAAAAATAATCAATTAATTACAATTAATGTTATTTTAAAATCGATTATCCAAAATCAGCAGTGGGCCTTATATCGCTTTTCATAATCACACAGACAGTTATAAGCCTCTCCCGCTTTTTCTCTCCCTCTTCCCCATTTTTCTTCCAGTTATCGCATTCTCGTTAATTCTACACGCGATGTTCTAACATTCTTCTATGCGTAAAAAATAATGGCGTCAATGCCAATCTGGAGATGATATAGAATTGAAAAAAAAGAAAAAAAGAAACGGTTTATTTTCGTATAATTGATTATTCATGGCCACCCTTTCTTATCAATTTTATATGGGTTTCATAATTACAATTCATTTGGGAGTTTTCTTATTTTTGACATCATCAGTCGCCGAAGCTGGTGGTGATTCATCAGGCGCCGCCTCCGACAATGCTTCTAGCTCCTGCAGCAACCCCCACATAATGGTACAATATTAAAATCCTCTTAATCATTATGTAATTGGTATTATTGTTGTTATTCCATATTTTGTTTATCTGAATGTGTAAAATGGATCGTAAGATCATATTACATAGATACTCCCTTTCATGTGTTTTCTACCAATAATATTAGTATATTCAGTTTCAGAACAATTTTATAGATAATGGGTTGAATTGATTTAGAAGTAAAACTTTAACAACTTTGATATTTTCATTTACTGGTAATTACAGAATCTATACTTAAGAATCTTATTTTCAGGTGTGGATTTTGGATAACCTGTAGTATTCGTATTCGTTTATTCCATATCATAACAGTTATATATTTTGTGCAACATGTTATGGACATACTTGAAGAGAATTGATGAAGATAAAAAGAATGGAAAATGGTATATTTATAGAAAAATAATTTTAAAAATTTCTACTGGAATTTTAAATCTTTTGATTAGATTTTTCAGCTTCATTTTCAGTGAATCAATTGACCATTTGAGAGTTTCAGTCTTTTAGTCAGCTGTGGATGTTAGATAAGACCCAAGTCTGTCCATGGCCCTATAACTGCTGGCGCGTCAAACCCTTGATTTTGTGCCGGGCCCGTACTGAACTGTAACAATCTTCCAGTCTGTTTTGAGCTTGTTTGTCTCCCATTATGGGAGAAATTACAGAATTTTGAATAGTATTTTTTGGAGAATGCGGGGGCTTTGTATATAATAACCTTTCTTTTGACCCTGTAAGTATCTTAGCAGACTAAAAATAAAAACAATACACTTTTATGGATAAATAAACTTAAGCTTTTCAAAGTTTGTGAAGGCTCCTAGCCTTTTTAAAATTGATTTGACATATATATATATATATATATATATATATATATATATATAAAAATAAACACTCTTTAATGGAATGAAAATTATTGATCTGCCATGCCTGCATGGAAGTGGATTGTCCTGACCGTGGCCATTCAAACCTCTAATTTTACTTGAATTTTTTTTGCATAATCACAATTATGCTATTATCTATAGGTGCAATATATAGGTGAAGTTTGGAAAATGTGGCTGAATTTAATGGAAATTGATAATTGAAGAGCGTGTTGTAACTCGAGAAACATAAGATTACATGCAACAAAATGGAAAACTTCAAACTGTTCTTTTATTTTGAATTTTAGTGTTAGAGTTAAAACTTCAAGGGAACAGAATTACTGGAAAAGAAGTGAAAAGATTTACAACTGTACAATAGAAATGATTTGATCGATGGCTTAATGATTCTATATATTGTTGAGAACTATTTCAAAAATGGAGTGAGATGACTGGAACTTAGCATTCTTATCTATTGTTTGGTGATGGAAATGAATCTTCCTCATCAGACAAATTTTTATTTTTTGATTTATATTCTATTATTTGAAGATCACATATAAGATAGAGATTCTCTTTTGTACATTGAAAATTAAAACTTTCTTATTCTAAGCATGTTTATCCGGGAAACATTAGCATGAAGAGAAAAACGAAAAAAAGTCTTGTTAGGAATATACTGAGAGAATTTTTTCACTCCTTTTTCAGGTTAAGGTCAAGATATGGGTCAATGGAGCTGAGAAGGAAGCAGTGGTTGGTTTAAGCGCGGCATTTGGCTCTATTTTTCCCACCCACATTAAAGAAGCCCACAGATTGCCAGCTACATTCTCAAAACCCTTAAATAGCTGTACAGCTTCATCTTCTAAGGTACTTTTTCCCTATTAATGTCAACATTTTCAATTTATTTGCTAATTTTTCAATGGTCGCTGGGAGTTTCATTTTGTGCCTTGTGCAGAAAAATACTCTTCAATTGTCTCCGAATAAACGGCACAATGTTCCAAGTGTTGGTTACTCCCATTGTAAACCTTGAATTTTACCTGATCTCAAATATTAGAAGAAAACGTTTTTTTGTATCCATTGCACAACATTGATAGAATCACTAATGTCTCAATTCAATGTTTCATCTAAATTCATAAGAAATGTTTGGAGGTTTGAGGCTCATCCTTGCCTCATCTGTTATTTATAATTCCATTTATAATATCAAATACCCAAAAAAGTTGAAAAGCAAACTAACCCTACAGTTTCTAATTAACTAGAAATGCATTAGCAGCATGAAGCTCTAGGAATTATGTTTTACAATTTTTGATGCATTTTCTTCAATTTAACATATGTCCTGCATACACTCTCTTTTACATGAACTATGCCTTCATACTGGTGGCACAAGACCCTAGAGCTAATCTCATGCTATAGATTGCAAGAGAAAATAAAACACATATTTCTCATATTTTGTTTATCTGAATGTGTAAAATGGATCGTAAGATCATATTACATAGATACTCCCTTTCATGTGTTTTCTACCAATAATATCAGTATATTCAGTTTCAGAACAATTTTATAGATAATGGGTTGAATTGATTTAGAAGTAAAACTTTAACAACTTTGATATTTTCATTTACTGGTAATTACAGAATCTATACTTAAGAATCTTATTTTCAGGTGTGGATTTTGGATAACCTGTAGTATTCGTATTCGTTTATTCCATATCATAACAGTTATATATTTTGTGCAACATGTTATGGACATACTTGAAGAGAATTGATGAAGATAAAAAGAATGGAAAATGGTATATTTATAGAAAAATAATTTTAAAAATTTCTACTGGAATTTTACAAGGATGAAGGCAAATGGGCACAATTGCAGGAACAATTGCATAATTACAGCTCCAATTGCAGTATAAATAAAGGAAATAATCACATTACTAGCATCCAGAAATTGGGAGATTCCTTGGGAGAGTGTGGGCCTCTCGAATGTCCATTGATCTTGTTATTTTTTCCCTTTTTTGAAATAAAGAATCTGCTTCCCTGATCGCGGGTTCGTTCATCTTGTAATCACTGTTTGGTGGTTAAATTCTCATAATAAAACTCTTGTTCTATTTTGGATCTATCATTGGTATCAGAGCCGTTACGATCGGGATGGTGAATTTATCGGATCGTGTGGGCGAATTGGAAGGGGTTAACCAGAAATTGCAAGGCTAGAGGGAAGACATGCAAAATGGGTTCGATAGGATGCAGGTGGAAATGCAAAGGGTGCGGAATTTTGAGAAAAATATGGGAATGATCCTGGAGCAGTTCACCTTCATAAGAACAAAATGGGAAGAAGGGGAGAGAGAAAGAGAGAGAGAGAGTGCAAAGGGGAAAAACGAGGGAAGGAATTGGAGTATGACCTGCCTTTGGAAGGTTCCTCAGGTATAGAAACAAGCTGTCGCGTCGTTGCTGGAGGGTCGGGAGACCACTGGAGACCGGAACTTAAGGGGAGAAGACTGGAGATGTCTGTTTTTCTGGGACAAAATCCAGATGAATGGATCTTCAAAGCCAAACGGTATTTCGGGGTGAATCAATTGATAGAAGGAGAGAAATTGGAGTCGACGGCACTGTGTTTTGAAAGGGACGCACTCACCTGGTACCAATGGGAGCAAAGAAGGAAGGGGATAAAAAATTGGGAGACGCTGAAGTTCTTGCTGCGAGCGAGGTTCAGGTTGACGCTGGAAGGCACAATGGAGGAGCGCTTCCTGGCTCTCTGACAAGAAGGGTCAGTCATGGAATATCGTGTTGCCTTTGAGACATTAGCAGCGCCAATCGGGGAAATCTCAAAGGCCATATTGGAGGACCATTTCATTAATGGGCTGTCTCCAGAAATTAAGGCCGAGATCTTGAAGAGCCTGAAGGGTTGCCGTCGCAACGAGACAAGGATCATGCCATCCACTTGCAACCAGGAATAGTCCCTATAAGTGTGAGGCCATACCGTTACCCCCATGTTCAGAAAAATGAGATCGAGAAATTGGTCAAAGAAATGCTAGCAGCTGGGATTATCAGGCCAAGTGCCAGTCCTTTCTCAAGTCCAGTTTTATTAGTGAAGAAAAGAGATGGAGGGTGGCGCTTCTGTGTAGATTATAGAGCCATAAACAAGGTAACGGTACCGGATAAGTTTCCCATTCCGATGATCAACGAATTGTTGGATGAGCTACATGGGGCAACAATCTTCTCTAAACTCGATCTAAAGGCTGGTTATCATCGAATTCGGGTCAAACGGGAGGATATCCTAAAAACGGCGTTCAGGACCCATGAAGGGCATTATGAGTTCTTGGTAATGCCATTCGGATTGACGAACACACCCGCCACATTCCAGTCACTCATGAATGAAGTATTTAAAGAACAGTTGAGGCGGTTTGTTCTCGTGTTTTTCGATGATATTTTGGTATTTAGTCAAAGTTTGGAGGATCACGCGGAGCATCTGAGGAGAGTTTTGCAGTTGCTAAGACAACATCGATTGTACGACAATCGCAAGAAATGTAGCTTCGATCAACCAGAAGTAGAATACTTGGGGCATTGCATTTCACACCGGGGAGTGGCCGCAGACAAGTCAAAGATTCAAGCCATAGTAGACTGACCTAGTCCCCGCTCATTGTGAGAGTTGAGGGAATTTTTTAGGCTCACAGGGTATTATCGCCATTTTGTGAAGGACTACGGTAAATTAGGATGGCCATTAACAGAAAGGTTATGCAAGGATAATTTTTTCTGGGATGAAGAGCAAGCATTCCGAACACTGAAAACAGCCATGACATCTGTACCAGTCCTCGCCCTTTCGGACTTCAACCACCCCTTTATAGTGGAGACAGATGCTTCGAGTTTTGGCGTGGGAGTTGTGTTAATGCAAGACCATCATCCTATTGCATACTATAGTTGTGCGCTTAATCGAAAAGGGAAGGTAAAGTCAACTTATGAAAGAGAATTGATGGCGATTGTGTTTGCGGTGCAAAAATGGAAACACTACTTGCCTGGTCACAATTTCTAAGTGCGAACGGATCAGAAAAGTTTAAAATTCTTATTGGGGGCAACGAGAAGTGAACTCAGAGTATCATAAATGGTTACTTACGTTAATGGTTTATCAATTTGAGGTTCAATATCGACCGAGAAGTGAAAACAAGGCTGTCGATGCCCTTTCCCACATCAGCTCTTCCACCGAGTTAATGGCAATATCAGCTATTGCAGTAGTACAACTAGATATTCTTGCAGAAAAAGTTTGTACAGACTCACAGTTAGAAACTATCATTCAAGAACTCAGGCAGAGCCCTTCTAACAGACCAGATTTTGCAGTGGTAAATGACCAGTTGCTATTTAAGGGGCGTCTATTTCTACCCAAAGGGTCATCATTGATCTCGTTAATGTTACAAGAGGGGCACGACAGCAAGATTGGATGACACTCCGGCTATCGGAAAACTTACAAATGCATCACCCAAAATGTCTATTGGGAAGGGATGAAAGCTGATATTCAACGTTCACACTATCACCAGGGGGATTATTGCAGCAGCTACCGATTCCTAATCAGATTTGGGAAGACATAGCCATGGATTTCATCGAAGGGCTTCCGAAATCAGGCAACATGGACACAATCTTGGTAGTAGTGGACAGATTAAGCAAATATTGGCATTTCATAGTGCTTAAACACCCTTTTACGGCGGCAAGTGTTGCTGGGATTTTTATTAGGGAGGTGGTGGGTCTACATGGAGTACCCCGCTCTATAGTATCGAATAGAGACAATATTTTTGTAAGGCATTTTTGGGAAGAATTATTTCATCTGCAAGGTACGAAACTCAATCATAGTACAACTTACCATCCCCAGTCTGATGGACAGTCAGAAGTATTAAATCGCACCCTAGAAACATATCTCCGCTGCTTTGCTTCATCACGACCCAAATCTTGGTTCAGTTGGTTACCTTGGGCTGAGTTATGGTATAACACTTCCTTCCACATGGCAAGCAAGACTACTCCCTACCAGGTTTTATATGGGCGCGAACCTCCAGCTCTGCTAAGGTTTGAAAAAGGATCCACCCCAATTTCAGCAATAGAACAACAACTCCTTGAAAGGGATCGGGTTCTAGAGGAATTGAAAGCACAGTTACTGCAAGCCCAGATGAAGATGAAGGGCATAGCTGATTGCAAGAGAAGGAATGTTCAGTTCAATGATGGAGATCTTGTGTATTTGAAGATTAGATCATATCGTTGCAAACCCTTAGCTGCGCGACCTAACAAAAAGTTAGCACCACGATTTTATGGTCCATTTGGAGTGGGTCAGAGGATTGGCAAGGTTGCTTTTAAGCTAATTCTTCCTCTGACATGTAATATTCATTCCGTATTTCATGTATCCCAGCTACGTAAGGCAGAAGGAGCAGTGCAGGCTGTGAAAGTAGTACCCAGCCAATTAAGTGAGGAGTTGGAGATGTTGGCTGAACCAGAGACATTACTTGGGGTGCGACCTGGCTTAGGAAGCAATATTTGAGGCTTGGATGTTTTAATACAATGGAAGGGACAACCACCACTTGAAGCTACTTAGGAGTCTTACGACATGATTAAGCAACAGTTTCCTTCCTTTCACCTTGAGGACAAGGTGAAACTTATGGGGGGAGGTAATGATAGACCCTCAATCCATGCAACATACCAAAGGCGCAAGCTAAGATCAAGGGGAATGGGCACAATTGCAGGACCAACTGCATAATTACAGCTCCAACTGCAGTATAAATAAGGGAAATAATCACATTACCAGCATCCAGAAATCGGGAGATTCCTTGGGAGAGTGTAGGCCTCTCGAATGTCCGTTAATCTTGTTATTTTTTCCCTTTTTTGAAATAAAGAATCTGCTTCCCTGATCGCAGGTTCGTTCCTCTTGTAATCACTGTTTGGTGGTTAAATTCTCATAATAAAATTCTTGTTCTATTTTGGATCTATCAGAATCTTGGATTCATCTAAAAACAATGCCGCACCAACTCTATGATGAACTAGGAATAGTGAATGTCTCATCTTTGTAGTTATATGACTTATTGAATACAAAAATTAAATAAACAAACATGTCCCTTCTTTAACAACTTAAGATCCCAAATAAAGTGGTTAAACATAGTTTTAGAGTAGGTGAATGTCCTACGTTCAAGCCTTGTTACCACCCATTCATAAAAATTTCATGTATCATGCCCTTGATGGAAAATTGAATTGGCTTGCACTCGAGGGGATTTAGTACAAAATATAAATATATATGTATGATCTCTAACAACCAAATTTTGTGAAAACCACTATACCCAAAGCCAATCTGGTTGTAGCTCAAAAACTCGTATAAAATCTGGTAACCTGGTAGATGAATTTATAGCCAGTGACTTGGACGTGGTTTGCCAAGTTTGCTGATGATAAAATGAAACATGAGATTATAGCAAAATCATTAAATGAAAAAGTGACAACAAAAGTGTGAAAGAACTTGCCTTCGATTGGTTTTCTTTGTCTCTACTGATTGTAGGGATTTTGATGGGAATCTCGTATGTAGTTTTAATTTTAAATATCCTTATTTTGTGCTCATTAATTTATCATTTTGTATGTAGCCCATATTTTCATTTGATATTTAGTACAGTCTAAGTTGGGCCCATTTAATTTTCATTTGAGGTTAAATGAGTGTTGAAATAATTAATAAATAGTAAATAATGAGTCTTCAGATACTTTTTTATTATACGCATTTTTAATAAAAGATATTTATGTATATATGCATTTATATATTTAATTATTTTTATTTTTTGTTTAACCTGGTCTACCCCTGACTCTTCTTGTTCGATTTTCAAAACATTGCTAACAATTTAAGATTTTCAATGAGGTGGTTCAACATTACTTTCATTCTTTAATCATATGTCCTCTGGAACCTTTCAAGCTCTTCCATATGGATTTCATAGCCTTTCTTATCAAATATTCGTGAACTTTAGAAAGAAATTTAGCATTGTTATTTGAATTGTTGTGGATTTGCTCTCTGTTACCAATGTTGATATTTTCAAGCACAGTGCAAAGGTTCTCTTGTATCCTTTGTAATTATCAGGCTCTTTTGCATTAGCTTGATGCAGTGATTGTGATTTCATAGCTGAGGCTCAAGTTGTTAACTATGTAGAATTTTGGAAAGAAACTTAGAATTGTTATTTGAGTCATTATAGATTTGCTCTATATCACCAATGTTGAGAGTTTCAAGCACAATCCAAAGAGTCTCTTGTATCTTTTGTAGTTATCAGGCTCTTTTGCATTAGCTCGGCGTGGTGATTGTGATTTCATAACTAAGGCTAAAGTTGCAGAAGCAGGAGGAGCAGCAGGACTAGTGGTGATAAATGACAGTGAAGGTTGTTATCTTTAATTCTGTTAGCATATAGTGTAAATCTCATAAATAGTATGTCAGTTGTTTGATATTTAGCTTTGGTTTTTGATTGGTACATCCTTGCCCTGAACTTCTTTAGGTCTTCTGGAGATGAATTGTGTTGGGAATGTTACTGATGTAGACATTACCATTCCTGTAGTCATGATTTCAAAGTCAGGAGGAGACGAAATAGACAAAGCCATGGCTAGTAGGGAGAAAGGTAGGTCTTCGTCATATAATTTCGTTTAACTAGTTTTAAAAGCCAGTATGGAAGGTACATGTTACTGTTTATAGTTTGCCCTGCTTCTGCATGTACAGAGTGTGGGATTGCATGCTATTAATTGATGCTTTTATCGAAGTTTGAGTTGAAGGTGCTTGGAACAAGTCTATTATGTTTTAATGTCTTATTTCCTTCTGCAATGAATAAGATCTTTTCTCTTTTACAGACTGTAGTGTCTTATCATATGTATGAATGCTTCTTGTTCTTTGTGATATCATCAAGTTAACCTAGCTTCAGGTGCTCTGATATATGGTGTGCCTTTCTTCAATTCGTTCTATCCATTTTTAATTATTTTGAAAAAGTTGATATACTCTTCAGAGGTGGGAAATGTGATTGAATGATAATATGCTCTCTTTTCGGAAATTATGATATTACTTCTTCAGTCCCCTTCTTATTGCAACAGTTTGACTGTTCTAACATTTCAAATAAAGAGGCACATTTCACAAAGTGCATTCAACTTTTCTACACTATCCATCAAAAGTTTATCTAGTCATGATATTATACAACCAGTTAATAATATCCATCAAAAGTTTATGAGCCTGCAGATTTTTCTGTTAATCAAAATGTTGACATCTGTGTTTGCTTCTTGAACACACTTATTTTCTGTTCCTTCACAATAAAAAATCTAAGTTCTGCAGAGGTTCACATTTCCGGAGACGGGGAGTCACAGATGACGTGGAGAAAGAAATAAAAATATGATAATACAATCTACCCTCCACGTGGAAACTGTCATGAGGCTAGGCTTTCATTTTTATATATATTTGATGTGTGCTGCAGTCTTATGATCAAGATTCTGCCAGATTTATTGGCTTTCTGCATGGCCTTCTTGCTTATGTGCAGTCTTCGGATATCTTGTTTGAATATTTTCTTTTACAGTTTGTTTGATAAAACTTCAATAAAACTTTATCAACTTTTCAGCTGTGTCAAACTTCAATTTTAACCACACATTTCATAGGACTAATAACTTTTATCCACTTTTAAGTCACATTTCATAAACTTTTATCTTTTATCAAAAACTTTGTCAAACAACCCCTTTATATTTTTAAAAACTGCTAACTTCATGTTTTTTAATGCAGTGGAACTTTTATTATATTCTCCAGATCGCCCGATTGTTGACTTCTCAGTGACATTCTTGTGGCTGATGTCTGTTGGGACAGTAGTTTGTGCATCGCTTTGGTCGGAATTTACTGGATCAGAGCAGAGTGATGAGCCCTACGATGAACTCTCACCAAAGGTTACGTGAACAAAATAATGTCTTTATTTTCATATGTAGTACAGTTAAAACCTTCAAGATGGGCATTTCCTACTGTACATAAAATGACGTCATGTAGCGCTCCATATGGTTGCTTTTACTATTTTCACTAGTGATATCGTTTGGTGTTTCATGCTCACAGTGGAGTTCCTTAAGTGTGCTAAACAGCTCAAGCAATAGCAGTTCCCAAACTTTTATCAAATTCCAAAGTTATCTTCTTTATATATTTGTTTTTGTTCTCACCATTGAAATATTTGCATACTTGAAATATTTGCCTTGCAGGTACAAATATATTTATGCCTGTCTTTCTTTTATAAAATATGATAATTAGAGCCAAGACAATTTCCCAGCCTTTTCTCACCTCCTTTTAAGTCATATCACATCCTTTATGAGCTACAGCTATATACTCATTTTGATGTTGCTTCAAGGTTTTGCAACTGACCCAGTTTCTGCCCGTTTGGGATCTATTTTTCTTGTACCGTGACTTGTAAAAGATGCAGAGGAGAAACACAACCCCTTTGTGGAACTTTCTTGGGGCCATCTTAAGCTATGACACAAAACTTTGTAATAGTCTGCCTTTGATGTCCTTTTAGTTATGAGAGGACAGAAATGAAAGAAAAGTCATGAAACTTATGATGGCTATTTGGTTTCTGCATATCTTGACAAGATTTAAAAAACAAGCATAATTGAATGATTTGGTGCATGTAAAGTTTCCTTTGACGGATGTTATATCTAAATTGACTATTCTGTTCCGTTTCCATTGTTAGGTGTCATCCAATGCAATAGCAGCCAAGGATGATGAAGAAATCCTGCATATAAGTACAAAAAGTGCTATAGTTTTTGTCATAACAGCATCAACTTTTCTGGTGCTACTTTACCTATTTATGTCATCTTGGTTTGTCTGGCTGCTTATCGGACTTTTCTGCATCGGTGGTGTTGAGGTAATTATTCACTCCATTTATGTTTGATATCAGTTTTGTTTTGTGCTGGCCGAGTTGAGGCTGCTTGCACACAAAAAGAGAAAGATGGACAAAAATATATATTTGAGCATCAACTGTTGAAATAAGGCATTAAGTGATTTTGCGCTTGGTCCAGGCCAAGGTTGAGATGTTGCAGACTTGCTGCTTGCACACGTAAAAGAACTTAGGAGTGTACTTATTATACTTATTTAGGGCAAAGACTTTCGAAAACGAGAAAATTCTGAAAATTACTAAAATATTTATGTCCTCCAGAATATCCTTTTATAGGCATCACTTCGTTGAGCACTTCCCATTTTCCTATACCATGTTGATTGTCATTGGTGATTTCACTTAAATGTACACTATTTAGACCAGTGTTTTTAGACTTTGCTCCATCATTGAACCAGCATAGGATCAAGGGTCTAAATGTTCAATCGGATTAAATTGGATGCAAAAATCAATAAATAAATGGGCGAAGTTATATACACAGTATAAAAGTTCATAAAAAATAGATTTTAATTGTTCACATCACTATTCCCAAAGTAAAGACAAATTATGTTCGTTAACTGAATTTATTACCTATGACTTGCTTGAACACCTAACAACTAGCATATCTGAATGATTTTATTGTTTTAAATTGAAAATTGTTTTAGCCTATAGAACATTTGAGTCTAGCATTATTGCACTAGTAATGAAGTACAATTGGTTATGCTCACTAAGTAGAAGTAAAAGGGTAAATAAACAAAGACAATGAACAATAAATTAAACATGGAAAATTCGCTTTGCTGGGTGACTGAAACAATAAATAATGACAATGACAAATAAGCATGCGCAAGAGCCCGCGAACACGTGTTGGGGTGTAGATTTTTCTGACTTAATGATACAATGATTTGATATGTCTAAATCAATGCTATTAAAACTGGCTTGCTAATGATAAGTTTTGTTTTTAGGGAATGCATACTTGCATAGTATCTTTGGTGTTGAGGTATGGTTCAATTTTAAATGTGAAAGATACAGCTAATCTCTACGTTTAATACATCTTTTTAACATACTATGTTGCTTGTTTGCTCTTATGATCCGAGCAGCAAATGCAAAAATTGTGGACGAAGGACTTTGAATTTGCCTCTTCTGGGGGAGGTTTCCATTCTATCTTTTGTAGTCTTGATATTCTGTGTGGTATTTGCCATTTTGTGGGCTGCAAATAGGAAGTCGTCTTTCTCTTGGGTTGGCCAAGACATTCTTGTAAGCTATTACTGATTTTCTTCTCTAATTTTGTTCTTATCTGCATTTTGTATTGTGAAGACTCCCATTGTATATGCTGAATTGGTGTGCTTTCTCTCTTGCACCTTATCAGTCAATTATATAATGGAAATCAATAATTATCATTTCACTCCTTGAATCTTGTAAAATGGCACATATTTGCTTGATGAAACTCACACTATCTTTTACATTATATAAAGGTTTATGTACTAAATTCAAATTATTTATAAGATAACATGTCATTGCCTTTTTAATTTTATGTTGTCAGTACAGTGGCTGTGTGGAGACATGTTTGTTTTTTGTGTGTGCATGCCTGCGTGCATATTTCTCTATTTTTTCATGATATAGAGATACATTAAGAGATCAAGAACTCCTAATAAAATATAAGAAAACAAATTTAAAAACAAAATCTCTTATGCATTGCATTCTCCCAGCTGAGAACAACTAAATAGAGGAAAATCACTAAACTCCTTAGACGTAGAAGCCCATAAAGAAGCCAAAATATTTGGTCTCTCGAATTAATTAGGGTGATGTAACATGGGAAGCTGTGATATTTGGCTATTTTTTGGGTGGTTTGGACCAAAAGGAACTCACCCGATTTTCGAAGAAAATAGGGAAAATAAAAACTAAGTTTCTAAATGTCAATTTAATGCATCTACAGTTATTTTACTTGTATATGAGATGTTACCATATAGTTTTCAACTATCTCCATGGAAGAGATACTTTCAGAAAATGTGGAAACTTTAGTTATATCTACAAATCTCTGACGAGATGATGATAGGACTTCACCTGTTTTATCCCTAATCCCTAATAGAAGGGCAACAGAAATATAATATAATTGAAATAATTTATAAGAGTATAATGCAATATAGTACAACGGATATTTTTGGGCTTGTTTGTAAGTACTGGCGATGGTTGTGGTTCTGTTAGATGCCAGCAGGATAAGGATAAAGAGGAAAGGGGTTAATGTTCCTCAAAATAAGAATCCAAGTGCAAGGCATGTGCCATTTTGACAGAAAAAATAACAGTTCCCATCCAGTGGGGACCTATATGCTCAATTTTGCAAAGGCTTTGGATCCAAGGGTCTCAGAAAATTGAATGGGGACCCAAGTTCTATATTTCACAAAGGTTGGAGACCCCAGCTGTTATTTTCCCATATGATTTTAATTTATAGGGATTTGGAATGGTTGGCTTGGATTTAGTGTGAGTCAGTGGTTTAACATTTAATTTGTTATAGGGCCTGATTATATTTCTGTAATATAGCTGTTCTAGAAGCAGTTAAACACAAAGAATATA